AAATGCTCGAGGAGGTATATGAGTGATGCACTATAAACTAACCTCACATTACATACAGTTATCACAACATGAATTCACTTTGACCCGAATTAATAGTCTACAGAGACTGCTAGCTTTAGCTGTACTATACCTAAAGATACTGTCCCAGGCGTTGTGCTGTAGTTATCACTAAATTAGTCATGGTCTGTCGGCCGTCTGCAAATCGTTGAATCGGTAATGAGATTTCAAATCGTGGTCATCCTTTTGAGCGAGCACCAAACTGTCTCATCATAGCATCCATTTCGCTAGGCTTAGTCCTCTATTCTCCCACCAGCTAATGACAGCAACACGTGAAGCCATCGACGGTCGAGAGGATGATGCCTCGTCAATGCAGAGTGTCCTGCAGGATCAGACCCTCCATCTCATGAAAGTGCTGAAGGATCAAAACTTGACCATAGAAGAGGCTAGGTTGGCACTATTGCTGGTGGAGGAGTTTACTGATAGGGTCGGGTGTGAGCCTCCTGAAGATGAGGAGGTCTATATCCAGTATGAGCTGCTGCTGGCATCTAGTTCGGTGGCGTGCCATGTGGCGGTCTTCAGATATTGGATTGACCACTACCAGAATAAAAGAGCGCCCATGAAGGACGAGCCGGAGTGTAGAGTGCCGGAACGAATTGACAGAAGGACGGGACTTGATCTTGCGTATTGTCTGAAGCGGAAAGATGTCGTTAGGATAGTTTATGGTGTCTTCGCACTACGGAGGGAGGTAAGGAAAGCTCTTGTGCCCTCATACCGAGTGTTGGAGCATGTGCTCGGTTGAACTGAGTAGCTCCCTTTCACTCGAGAAGGGTTTCCAATAATTTGTCGAGAATTTCTTTAGTCATAAACACCTGTAGCTGACCTTGTTCACATTGTCCCAGACTGCTCATAGCCTTCAGCTTGGCGATGATCAGGTCAAGTGGTTGGGCCGCCTCCCCCTCCTATCACCGAAGCCCTGCCGGAGTATGCAGATGGATGCCGGCCCAAGCGTTACCCCACCGACCGTTGAGCCTGTCCTTAAGCCGATACTAACTGAGGGGAGCTTGACAGCAGCAGCTTTCGGAGGGTCTACGATAGAAGGTCTGAATTCCGTAGGGCTAAATAGTTTGGCGAAGTCGGAGTCCTCAGGAGTTTCAAGGGCGTTGGATCAGTACACTAGGATCATCGACCTCTACATCGCGTGTGAGGGCATTCCTGGGAGGCTCGGCAACGACGGCATTTTGCCATTGAAGCACCAGTGCTTCTTTGAAGGGGAGTCGAAGCTCATTCCAGTCGAGGTGGTCGACTTCTTCAATGCTGTCAATGACAAAACCAAGTGGGGTCTTAAAGGGTGAGCAAGGCGATCATCAAGCATTGGCTAATCGGGTTTTCAGAGTTGAGGAGAGGGAGTTGTCGGACTACCTCTATGACTTCACTAACGGCAACGGTGACGTAGCCTTTCCAGTAGTGGAGGCCTTCGAGAAGCAGCATGGTTACGTCAGTCTGGACGTCTCCTCTCTGTTCCGTTTCTGGGCTGGCCTGACTCCCTACCAGAAATCTTCTTATCGCCTCAGAGGATTGAGTCGGCTGCAGGCATTAGATGTCATAACGAGGATAGCGGAGCGGAGGATTGTGGAAA